GAATGGTGGGTTTCTCTGCTCAATGTTTCCATATCCATGCAGTCTGGACTTCATTGGCATTGTCACAGCAACAGTCACATCTATGTGACATCCTCCTCTGAACCACAGAAGCAGTCACTGATGGCAGGTTATTGATGCAGAGCAAGAGGAAGGAGAGGACAGGGAGCATTTCAGAAGCAGGTGCAAAATGCTGAAAGATCTGACATGATCTGCCTGTCAGACCTAAACAGCTCTGGTGATGTCAGGGCCAAGATGAAGATGTGGGCAGACAAGTCTATCAGCGTCATTCTGGTTGAGCATGTATTCTCTTCCTGAGTGCACAAATAGACAAAGTGAACCGACAGAAAAGTTTCAAAAGGCCACATGAGCTGTTGAGAGTCTGAGGTTAAGAGGGATGGACAGCTTTTATGTTCTACCTCAGAGCCACCTGGTTCTTCTAAAGTAAAAAACATCACACCAATGACAAGAGGACTACATCTGAAAACGCATGAGGATCCAGTCTTTCTGAATCTAGTAACATTGAATACTGATCAAAGCTCTGGCTTTTGAGTTTTGGGTCACAGATTAAGTATAATTAAAATGCACAGCAGAAAGATCACAAAAAAGAGCATAATAATAGGAAGAGAAAAAAAGATGCTATCTGAAAAGGGAATCATTTAATAGTAAAAAATGTGATCAGATTCAAGCATCATTAAAGGCTCTGATGAAAACTTGACTGGCCTTTGCAGGTTGTTTCAGTGCTCAACCATTTCATGATTCTTCCTGTTCAAAAACGTAGTTGATAAAATTTCCTTGCAAAATTAAGTTGTAACTCTTTTTCTTATGTTCTCATTTTTAAAAAAAACATATTACTGGGATTTCTGATAGTGTCACAATTAAAAATCAAAATTCACACCTATAAATTTTCTATCTTAAATACTAACCTCAACTTAGTCACGCTGATCAGAAAACCTGTTTGGCTGTAGCTAACATGGCAGCTGAAAAGGGGGACAACAGAGTCAGTTGTTCCAAGAAAAAAAGCTGGCGCTTACCTCAGACAACATATTGCTTGTCTTCATTTGTAGTTTGTTTTATCTTTTCTACTTTAATCTTCCTGGAAAACAATTACCTGGAACATGAATTTTAATATCTTATTAAACTTTTCAAGTCTTAAAATTTCAGGATGAGTATAAAGAAGAGCTCTCAGAAAAATTAGTGTTTGTCACATAACACAAATGTATCTGTAAATATACAAATTAATGGTAATAAGTGGACATTAAAAATTTTAGGTGGGATCTTTGCTGGTAAATATATTACCTGAACAAAATGAGAAATACATGCGTTAAAATAATGCTCAGTTCAACTTTGGAATTATTTTCATGTGTGTAATCTGAATCCAATCTTAAACACCAGAACAATTAAATGATGTAGACTAGTGATTTGGCACCAACCAAATCTTACCTAAATCTGAAAGCAGGCTATTCCCTTAAAAATCTGTGTGTGCACACGTAGTCATCGTTATTTAGCCAATATATTTCATGCTGATGAGCACACACGTATAGGTTTTACAAAGAAGAAGAGGGTTTCACAGAAACAACAATTATTCCAGTGAATGACTTTCTGTCAAACCCAATAAGCACTGATATAAAGAACAGCAACTAGCACCCAGTTAGGAGCTATTTAAGGGACACCATCTATTTCCTGCTCCAAACAGCATGTCAGCACTTCTCTCTACTGACACTTCAATCTCTTCTATTAAACACTAATGAGTGGTGGTGAGAAAGGAAAGCTATTACAGCAAATTACACACAGCAATAATCAGCTCTCAGCATGAAACTCCCTCGCAGCCAGGCCTAGCTTGGCAGGAGGCTAGAATTCAAACAAAGTCCACTGCAAACACAGAATAAAGAAAATAATTTGCAAATAATGTGGATGGGTGAGAAAGAGAGGGTCAAATAAAAAAAGTAGGAAATGAAGTCTAATAAAGAAAAGATAAAACAAAAAAAGGAAATTAATTGGACATATTGGAAATATCAACAGGAAGCACCACAGTTTCTGGACACAAATTAAGTATAATTTATATACATAGCAAAAACATAATAATAGCATAATAATAGGAAGAGAAAATAAGATTTTATCTGAAAAGGGGGTAATTCAATAGTAAAAAAGGACAAACTGGTCAAAAACTGTCAGAAACCTGGAAAAAAACAGGGCATTGAGACAACATTTAATATGCCTTAAAAATAAAGTTAGGAGTATGAAGACAAATTGTCTGGAGTTTTGAAATTCAGAGGGAGGGAAGAAATGTTTGAAAGAATAAAATATTGCTTTTAATGGAGTGAAGACTTTTCACTCCATGCTTTAGCAAGGGAAAAGGTCACGCTACACTTTTTTTATTGTCCGTCATTTTGATTGACTAAGTCAAAAATATTGTCACATCGTATTTTTATCCATCAATTTTTAAATTATATTAATCTGGGATATTCTGTTGCATTTCTTTTTATTTAGTTTAATATTCAACAAGTTGAACAGAGAATCACACCATAATCAAGCTGAGGAACACATAACTTTTTCTCTACAGTGATAAAATCCACTGACAGAACAACTGAATTAAATGCTCCAAGTATCCTGTCCATGACTTTTCTATGCACGTTCAGCTCTTTAACCTTGTTAAGTCCCTGATTCTGGTGCTGCTGCTCTGTCCTGTCTTATAGATGCTTCACTATTGCATCCACAGTCCAGTTGGTTGTCTAGATGAACACAGATGTATTTATATATTGATATATCAAGGTATTGCTGAACATCTGGTTGGACACAGTCTTTCAGGACAAACTGTGGTCTGTTTGTGAAGTAGTCATACATCGAGGTGACTGTTGACTCATCTACCTGTGTGTTCTGGAGTTTCTTAAGGAGCAAATCAAGGTGAATTGTGTTAAATGTACTGGAGAAATAAAAGAACATGATCCTCTTATGCTCTAGATCTTACGATGCAAGGTGGAAAGATTTGAAAGGAACAACAGTAGAAGGAATCCCTTCAGTATCAGTATTGATGGACAAGGACTTACAGGAGGGGCTGAATATACCATATGGGTCAATGTATATTGACCCATATGGTATATACCCATACCCAATACCCATATGGGTCAATACCCATATTGCTCCGTATGGGTCAATATACCCATATGGGTGGTAATTAAAATGTGTAAATTAGGTAACCACATAAAAATACTCAGATGGTGTGCCTTTGATTCGGCTTCCAAACCAAACAAAATTGATGGGAGATTTAGAGGATGGATCCAAAAAGGATTAACCACTTACTATACATTTATCCAGAAGGGGGTATTTCAGAGTTTTGAGGAACTTCAGAGATCTAATGGGTTGGAGAGGGATGATTTCTTTAGATATCTATAGGTTAGGGCCTATTTTAATCAAACCAGGACTTTTTAGGGTATTTCTGTCCTTGTTGAAGTCAGGTTCAAGCAAGAAACTTGTTTCTATAATGTACAATGGTATTCTATCGCCTAAACAAGGTGACACAAACTACATAAGAAATAAGTGGGTAAAAGAAGAAAATTTATCTATCTCAACGAAAGTCTGGGGACAGATTAACAAATTACATGGGACGACCTCGAGCTCCAAAACATGGAGGTTTGTGCTGTTAGAAAAACTCAGTTTGATATTTTGTAACTCCAGTTCAGAAAATAACATCGGGGTTCTGGGGTTGTCCGGTGATAAAAGTTTTTTGGGAACAAATATATTTCCACCTAAATAATATCTTTACTGAAAAAAATCCCATATAAATGTGAATTCCTATTCTTAGGAAGCATTTCATTCGATAACTGGACTCTGGAAGATAAAAAGCTGCTGTTAGTGCTTCTGGCAGCAAGCAAAAAGACAATCACTAGAAAATGGTTAAAGCCTGAAGCTCCTACAGTTGAAGACTGGGTCAACAATGTACAGGACATTTACATTCTGGAGAAATTGTCTTTTTCTCTTCAAAGTCGAAGGGAATCATTTTTTAGGATCTGGTCTAAATGGACTAACTATAATTCCTGTGGACTAAAGATGTCTATCCCATGCAAGTTAGGTGGTGCTACATAGAATATCCTGGTTCAGGACTGTGGCAAACTTATACTCTTGATTGTGTCTTTGATTGTGTCCCAACATGAGAAAACCCAGACCAGACCCACTCCACGCCCCCGCTCACCCTTTTGTTATAGATGTTCTGTTATTATACAAAAAACCTGGATTGGCTTATGTTATTCCTTTTCATACCCCCAGTGTGATGGAAGCTAGATTGTATAAGTAATTGTATCCTGCCTTTCCAAATAAAAAAAATAAATAAATAACATGATTCTCACAGTGCTGCCTGCTTTGTCCAGGTGACAGTGGGTTTGTTGAAGCAGGTGTATGATGGCATCATCAATTGTGATGAGCAAACTGCCGAAGATCCTAATATGTGCTTATCCTCTTACTCAGGTCGGCCAGAAGGAGTTTTTCCAAGACCTTCATGACATGGGTTGTCAGGGCAACAGATCTATAGTCCTTTATAACTGACTGACTGACACAATCTGGACCTGTAGCCTTGTTCCAGTTCAGTCTCTCCAGCTGCTTCTTCACCTGACTTGAACTCACAGAAAAGTGGGAGGGGGATCCAAAGGGAGCAGCACCAAGCAGAAGCCAACAATCTTCTGCTTGTTAGCTAACAAGTTAAGGGATGGCCTATCCTCTATCCTCTTTGCTTCTGCTCTGCATCCACAACATCTCCTTTTCAACTCCTCTGGAATTTCTGGCTTCAGTTGTGGTATAATTTCAGCTTTTCCAACATTAATCAGCTGCTCCCTGTTGTAAAGTCAATTCAATTTGAAAATAAGTTATCTATCCCAAGAGGTTAGGTTAAACTTTACTAATCCCGTAGGGCAGGAGTGTCAAACTCCAGTCCTCGAGGGCCGGTGTCCTGCAAATTTTAGATGTGCCTACCTTTTTTGTTAAAACAGTAATTAAAACACAGTGACACCTACTGATAGGTGACGGTTTTCTGTGTCCGCCTTTGCACTTCGCAGCTTTGCTGTGTGTTGGTTGGACTGGTTTATATGACTGACCAGTGGCTCTGTACATAGCCTGAACCCAGAGTGCTCTGTCCTGTTCGTCATCACAGGCGAATGTCACCAAGTCGCCCTCCTTTACAGCATTAAAAAACACCTGGCCACCTTGCAGACCTAAAAATGGCAAAAACAAAGACGTGACAAACTTGAATAAGCTTGACGAGCCAGTTGTACAAGCAAAGTACATGCCAGATAATTGTTCTCTTATTACGATAGATTTTTTTATTACCATATATTGTCTTTTAAACCTCTAAAGGTTTATTCCTCCAAAGAGGCGTCAGTACGATGCGATATTATGACATCAGAAACTGAGTTACACTGTATTACAACTTGCATTAAATTTTAATGTAGGAAATTAGGATTTTAACATGTTTTATTGCACGTTTGTTGAAATAAACTGGACAACGGTATAATGGATGGAGCTGTTTCTGTATTGATTTCGAAGTTGCTTAGCAATGGGAGCCAATAGTATTGTCACAAGGTCATAAAATGAAGGAAACTATGAAACAAAACACAATTTCCAGCAGTGGTTGTTGAATATGTCCGATTTTAGATCGTAACATACCACACACTGTATTTCTAAGGAGTTGGGTTTGGAGGCTGGATCTAGACCAAATTTACAACAGGGGCCAGAGGAGATGGGACGTCAGGGGTACCCTTAGAAGGAGGGGCTACAGAACCTCCCTGAACAATGGAAAAGCAGACAACTGCACCCATTGTTTAAAATGTGGCCCTCCGGGTCACATTTCCAGAGGATGCCAAGCTCCACGTCAGCAGCAGAAAAACATCAGAAGGCTACTGGCCTCAGACCAGCAGTGACCCGGCCACCACATGAAGAGTACCGCTGCTGGCATTACTGCCACCGGGAAGAATCAGTTGACATTAGCCTCCAGAGGTGTTCAGTTTGCTCAGCTACCATGTGTTGTTTCAAAGCATTTCAGACACCATACATGTAAAGCAGTAAAACTTGCTGAACAATATCTGTGTGAAAAAAATAAAAAGAGTTGTTTTCCACTTGTAGAAAATTTTGACCTTTCCTCAGATAAAAGGAATTTGTAAAACTAATTTGTAGGCGTAAAATGGTGAGCTGCACTTTTGACAATCTACCAGTTGTAGCGCTGTGGGACCCAGGTGCACTGGCTACAGTGATAAATGACAATAGGAGGGAGGAGCACTTACTTCACACCACTATCAGGGGGATAGATGAGCTTTTAGGATTAGAACCATTAAATAGGCTTGCTGCTAATCAAACAGAAATACCATTTATTTGGTGTATTCCCATAAAGTGGGAGAAGTGATTGTTTATTCTAAATAGTGGAATCATGAGCATAAGTTGTACATTTACAGAATAGAGATTCTTTCTGTCTATAAAGGCACATTCACTAAGCCAGCATGGCACGACTGAAGGATGACTGCAGTTGCACTGGCACTGGCACAGCTCCTCCTTTAAGTTTTCAGAGCTCCAGGATGGTCAGTCCAGGCAATGTAAATGCTAATAAACTTTAATCAACATTTCCCAACAGATCAATATGATCTTTGAACAAATTCTCCCTCTGAATCCTTCCATTGGCGGTGTTCTCCATCAGAGCCAAAGTGCTCTTCAATTACGCTGCACACCTTTGCGCAGCTTATATACACACCTTCATCACTTTAAAAATAATCAAACCTGATATGTTTGGAGTTAATCTGCTGATCCAACCCTGTTCTCTTTTTTTTAGAGAAATGAAATTACCCCATAGAAGCATTCCATGCACTTCAGCGCACAGACCAATGCATTACATCTTTATGCTAAAAACTGTAGACGAAAACATTCGAGTGAAGTTTTCACCTACTTTTATTTTCTATATTGTGTGAGTATGTGAGATTATTGTTGGAGGTTAAATGTGGTTCAGTTTTATCGTTTACATTTAAACAATGAAATATTAAAATCAGAAGAAAAAAAAATTGGGTTAAATGCGTCTTGGTCTAAATAACACTGAATGTTGTCAGATTTCAGTGTATTTAGATGCTTTCTAGTTTGACATTGTTCACAGGAAAAGTTTGCATGACCGACGGACATTTTCATCAGGGAAAGGTGTGCATATATTTACACAAACATTGACACAAAGTTAATTCTTATACATGCTGACTTATGTGTAAAATACTGTTTTGTGCATATGCACACTTTATACATGAGGCCCCTGGTATGTTTTTGAAGAAGGAATATTGTAACATGATGTAAAGCTCAAAAAAGTTGGTTTTATATAACACTTCCCCTTTAAGTCCACCATAATCTGTTAAAAATAAAATCTGTGAAAATGTTTCCTTTATAAAAACAAACTTTAACCCTTTAGAAATTAGGAAAGAAAAAAAATAAATAATGGTTTCCACAATTCATTTTTCTACATAAATAAATGTAGACAGATAAGTATTTTCCACATAGTCTACCTGTCTGAGGTTGGCAGTAGTCTACAGTGTAGCCTTCCAGCTGCATCAGTTCCTGAGGTTCAGCTTTCCTCTCTCTGTAACTGCACATTGCAAATGTGTACTGACTCACCTATAGGAAGCAGACACATAGTTGGCACCTCCAAAATGAGCATGATCAATTATCAATACATTTCATCTTTCTCTCCTTTTTGGCAAATTATTTGGTACTAAAGCAGTAGAAAGCAAAAGTTCTACTAGCAATGGCATAATGACATTAAACATAATGACATTAAACATACAGATGAAAAAGATCAGTTTATGAATTCTTTTTACAACCAGCAATAAATCATGAGTATACATTACAGTATACATTATCGTTGCCTCCCTGTGCTATTTCACTCAGTTCAAATGTCACTTCACAGCTCAGTCTGGGATTTTTCCCCTTCACATAGAGTTTCTCCGGTAGATTTTCTAGAGGACAAATCAGTGAACAGGAGGAAAAGTTGTGAATGAAGGTGTTAATTTTCTGTGCCTTTTAGAATTGTAGTCTGTAGTTTTGTCAAAGGCAGCAGAAAAGGCAGCAATCATTTGTCAACAGCTGAGGGCCCACACCCTCTGGATGAAACAAACTGTAAAATAAGGTGTTGGTTTTTACCAGGATCGAATATATTGTAAAAATCCATGTTCCCATGAATTCTTTTTTCTCACTATGAACCACTAAAACATGGCCATTTCACTTTGACAATGGAAATCTTGATGTATCGGTGAATGTAGATTCTCAGTCCAAAGACCTGATCTTTTTAGCCATTAAAGGAGTTTCAATTAGAATAAACTAAGCAGCCACATTTCACAAAAACATTAAATGATTTTTCACCCATCTTCTCTTGACCTACAAAGATCCTGAGTAAGTGCTCAGAAAGTAAATGAAAGTTCAAGAAAAGTATAGTAAAGATTAAATAATGTAATCTTGAGTTTAAATTAGATGAGAAATCTGAGACTGCTATGAGGATTCTTTTGTTTGATTTTCTTTCAACTGACCACATTTTAGTAAATAAAGGACCAACAAAACATAGTTTCAAACAGATTTTACTGGTGGATAATGTCTGCCAAAAGGGCTCCACTGCAAGACTTGACTAAAAACTACACTCTAATTAGAAAAACACTACCGAGTGAAATATAAACCCTTGCCTTTAGTTCTACATGTAAAATTGGTTCCAGAGGATGGCTATAGTCCCTCCTCTGGAACCCAAGGACCTCTGATCTAAGGTTTTACACCTACTAACTTCATTCAAACTTTGTTGCAGAGTCGCAGGAGCATCTTACCTGAACAAGAACAAAATATCTTTTTTTCCAGCGTTTCCAGACTCTAAGTCCTACAGCATGCAGGTACCTGATGCACAAACATAAAAAGATTATCAACCTCACAGTAGCTACCATGTTTCAATAACTCTAAAGAATTCAGTTTAATTTAAATAAAGTGGTTTCAATCAAATGAGACAAAAGATATCACTTTCACACCAATATTGGAAGATGAAAATGCTGACTTCTTATTGCCATAGAATGCAAAACTGAGGCTTTATTTAAAAAACTAAAAATTCAAAACTACTTTATTGATCCCAAAGGGAAATTAAATTAAGAAGACTGAGTAAAGACACTTGTTTCATCGCAAACATTCTCATAAAGAGCATGGTTAAGAAAATTAAGCTTTCTTGATTTTCTGAAGAAACCTTCTTTGAATTCTGTTCTGGAGAAATTCCATAGCCGTTCCTAGAAAAGAATCAGATCAAAACCAGATCCAAACCAGATCAGCCATTTTAGGTCCCTGTTTCTGATGCTGCATTAGATGGCAGAAGAGAATAACTCTCACAGCAGACTTGTAGAAGAGACCAGTCTTAGAGACGGCATCACTGTTGTGTCTCCAGTGTGTTGTTTAGGCAAACACTGAGATATTTATATTCCTTAACCACCTCCACTTTTTCTCCCATGATGGAAATACGGTTTGATTGATTTAACTCTGTTTTTCCTGAAATCTACAGTCATCACCTTTGTTTATTTACAGTGGAGGAAATAAGTAACAGATTCAGTGACACCCCAAACTTCTCCACAATAGGCAAGACTGTAGGTGTAGTTATAAACTGAATGTTCACCTGAAAAACACTTCTAGGATTAGATGACTGTTTCCACAAATTTGTATTTTTTTGTGTATGTGAGTGTGTGTTTTTGATGTCAAGCACTTTGAACCTTGTTTCTGATGTGCTACACAAATGAACTTGACTGATTCATTTGTTTTGTTTGCATTAAAGATGAGATGAGATGATTGTTCCCACATCATGACACAAAGCGGTCCATCACCTCTCTGTATTTAGCCTCGAGCCCATCTTTGATACACCTGACAACTGCAAAATCATCTGAATATTTCTGCAGATGACAGAAGTCAGACTTGTGCTGGGAATCTGAAGTGTAGACAGTGAAAAGGACTGGTGAGAGTACAGTGCCCTGTGTTGCTGCTACCGGGAGAGCATTCCAGGAGACTGCTCTTCCTGGACTTCACCTCAGCTTTTCACACCATCATTCCAAGCAGACTGGTGAGGAAACTGTTTTGGGAGAGAGTAGGATCCCACCTGTCCTCGGCACTGAACACCAACACCAGATCTCCACAAGGTTGTCTACCATGGTGGTGGGGCTCATTTCTGGAGGAGATGAGATCACATACAGAGCGGAGGTGCAACGACTGTTTGCCTGATGCTCCACTAAACCACCTCCGTTTGAACACCTCCAAGTCGAAGGAACTGACGTTATTTAGGAGATGTAAACGTTCAGATGATCATTATAAATGGGAAGAGGGTGGAAATGGTGCCCAAGTTCAAGTTCCTGGGTACCTACATCAGTGAGCTGAACTCTAACCAACTCCACTTCAGTGACCCACACAACAGAACTGATCTCTTAGTGCTGGAAGACATCTTTGGGTTTTGGGCTGCTGTTTTTGCAACAACAAATTTGAGGTATGGACATTTTTTTTCCAGACTCACCAAGCGGTTTAAATGGACATTATTAGTCCTAGAGACTATCTAAATCACAAATGTTTTTGTGTTCACCCATTAGATAATATAATTGTTCACTGCATAGGATAGATGGATTCATCATACACTGAGCAGAATGTTGAAGGAAACTGGTAAATGGCATATTAAAAAAGGAAGGTTTGGCATGCATCAGTGGAAACTGTCCCACTGACTTGACTGAAACTGCTTTTGTTCAGATATCAAAATTTTTATTTAGTTCAACACAATCTGAATTTAAATGGACTATCAAATCTAGGCAAGAAAAACAAAAACAAAATGAAATAGATCGATGGGAAGATCTCTTTCTTCAGCATTGCTGTCGGCTTTTAAAGAAAAGGCCTTCATTCAAGGCTGTGGTGCAGCTAGACAAATAATCTGGGCCATTCCATGCAACTGTGGGTTAACTTGTGGCAGCACGATAATGGAGAGATATATGGGGCTACAATGAACATGTCTATTTATCTTAATATATATTGTTTAAAACACATAAACACATATTTATGCACACACACTATATCTATATATATACACATACGCACACATACATATATATATATATATATATATAACACACACACATTTATGTATGTTTTTAATCAGAACAAAAATATCTTGCAGAAAGAAAATCTAACTTGGCTACAAATAAACACTTAAAAAATTCACTGATGCTTAACAAATCCAGTGGAAAAAGCCAGTTTGTAATAATGTAATCTATGTGGGTTTTTCTTGAAATGTCTTCATCTGTTCTGAATTTCTTCCAGTTTTATGCTTTTCAGTAACAAAATGTGGCAAGCACAAAAATAAGTCTGACTCGTTTATAAAGGAGAAAAAATTGTATTCTGACATTTTCTAATTTATTTGAAATATTCTACACGAAGATTATCTTTATTTTAAAACATGAGGCACATCATTTTAACCTCCAATAAGAAACGAATAACCTAAAGCCTCTCTGGTAGACTGATAGTGCCCCCTGGTGGAGCATCCTGAAAACTAAGCGTGGCTCTTTCGGTATTTTTTTTTTTTTTGCTGGTTTTATTCTCTCTGCAGCCAACAGCTGATTTCAGTCGGTGCCACTTATTCCATCAGTTCAGGATTCATATTCCACAGAGTAGAGTCAGCAAAAGCAATATTTCCCAAGCCTGGCCCTCAAGGCACACTGTCCTGCATGTTTTCAATGTTTCCCTGCTTGACAATTGATTCAGGTGACTGCGATTCAGCAAAATCAGTTGAAATCAGGTCTGCTGAAGCAGGGAAATACCTAAAAAAAAAAAACAAAGAGCAGGGCAGTGTGCCTTAATAGCAAGAGTTCGGAAACGCTGAGCCAAAATATTCTGGAGCAGACAGCAGCAGAACTCCATCAACATGAATTCTCGTGCCGCACTCAAAAGAAAAACAAACCAACCAACAACGCTTCTGACAGAAATCATAAAACATGATTGACATTCAGGGTTTCCCCCAGAAAACTTGCTAAGCCCAGTGATCAGCATACAGAGGCAGTCCACTGGTAGTCCACCGTGTTTTTGTATTAAAAGTTAAGTAGGCACGAAATGTAAAAATATTACTATGTAATTAAATGTGACTGAAAAACGCCAGTTAAATGATAAGGTTTAACCTCCCTTTCTACAATCCACATCTATTTCACAAAGTCAATTTGAGCCTTTTCTTAAACAGTCTCATGCTTGAACTTTGCTTCAACCTCCTCATGTTGAACAACCCCCCATTCTGTATGTTTGAAATTCATCAGTCAGCAGATCTAAGAATTTCAAAAAGCCAGAATAAATAAATACAACTTTTTGCAATACAGCAATTCAGGTAAGATATTAACCCATTTAATCCCAAATTTTTTCCAGCCATGAAAATATTAGAATCAAATGTCATTTATAGCCATTTGATCAAATCAAGGGGAAATAATTTTAAAAAATTGTGGAAGTTTGTGTTTCCTTACAGTGTGTTTACTACCTGTAAGGTAAGCAGCGGCTCTGTGAGCCCGGTGTAAAATATTCACTACATTAATATACCCAACTATTTCTGTTTGCCAGTTAAGTACAAATTACATTTTTGTACTAGTAATGTGTGATTGTTTTGGAAAAGAAAACAATTGAATGATAACAGTGTGTTTACTGCCTGTAAGACGGATGAAATAAAGGTGCCAAAATCTCCCCATAACGAAGAGCCCTGTGTCTGAGTCCTCTCTTGCATGGAACACATCCCACCTTCACACAACAAACACAACACAGAGTCCATAGGGTGTCTTCCACCCAGGGTGGGAAAGCCAGAGTTACAGTCACAATTGTGACCAGTGGAATAATATGGTGTTTTTACTAAGATGAGCAAAAAGTGCTTTTTACAAATTGAAAAGATAATAAAAGGTGAGCATTGTTTCTTTCTTTCTTTGTATATATCTTTCCGCAGTATTACTTTAGTGCAACATTTGCTCTGTAAAGTACAAATTTGACAATCTGTATATTCCAAACCAAGGTTAATTTGAGTGCTTGAATGTTTATGTATAATTATATTGAACTTCAGTCAGTTGTAGTGTTCTGTTATTACATTAACATAGATCATAAAGATAACATCTATAGTAGAGTCCATCATTTATATTACTGAAAATCTTGAACATTTGTAAGTTTAACTATCATATAGTAATAAACTTAGTCCAGGGGCCTTCAACTCCCGGGATTGAGGGTTGGTGTCAGGCGTCTTTTCCATATGTCTCTTCTTCAATACACCTGAATCAGATGATTAACAGGACTCTGGAGAACTGGACTGCATACTTAGGAGGTCATCCATTTAATTCACACTTTGTTAACTTTAAGGACACACCTGAAAATTCTGAAAGTTGCTCGATACTGGACCCCAAGGCCTGGAATCAAAGGCCAGTTGTACAGCTTCTTCTCATACAACTCAGGCAGAGTTGTACGAGAAAGAGAACAATACCAAAGTCATTTGGTGACTTTGGTACTGTTCAATTTTGGGTAATTTCATCCCCTCTTTACTTTCTTGAAGCACTCAATATGCAATAAAGCCTTGAATTTCTCACAGGCATGGGTGGTGCAAAAGCAACATCTCTGGAAATGATTCTTGCATTGACTGACCAGTAAGTGTTTTGGTCACATCTTGAAGAGAAGTGTTTGAGATTTATTCCCATGACCTACTGACTTTGTGCCAAACCTTTGCATAAGATGGACCTTCTCACAACCCATGAGAAGGTCATCGCTCCTACAACACATTTGTAAAATAATATTTAAAAGGTAAATGGCTTGCAGTTGTATAGTTCTTTATCAAGTCCAAATGATCTGAAAATGCTTTCACCACATTTAGTCATTCACCC